CTCCCGCGCTCCTCCACGCGTCGCGATGCCTGCCTTCGTCGCGATGCCTGCCTTATGGGTCAAACGGGAAGCTCTTTTAAAAAGCTTCGGTTGGTAGGAGGAAGATGAACCTGCTCTCCTTCTTTTGGCGAAAGTGTGAAGAAGGAAAAAGAAACAAAAAAGCTAATTACTTTTTCCTTTTCTTAAGGCAAAAAAGCTAATTACTTTTTCTTCGTTCATCAGGTGGCAAGAAAACAAAATCCTCTGCAGCTCCGTGGACGTAGGCAAATTTGTCGAACCACGTAAATCTAGTGTCGCCTTTTCTGGTGTAATTTTCTCCATCTATTTTTCGTTTTATTGTCGTCGTTTATTTTTTCTTAACAATTGGTATCAGAGCCCCGGTTTGGATCTGAGGAAAAACAATGGCCGGTGACGAAGTGAAGGTTTCAGGGATCAAGAAGTTCAACGGCATGGATTTTGTATACTGGAGGATGCAGATAGAGGATTAAAACTTCATCTTCCACTACTGGGAAAGCGACCGGAGAAGATGGAAGAGGCTGATTGGAATTTGTTGGATCGACAGGTTCTGGGGGTTATTCGATTAACCCTATCGAGGTCCGTTGCTCACAATGTCATAAAGGAGAGGACGACGACAGATCTTATGACGGCTTTGTCAAGTATGTATGAAAAGCCATCAGCGAATAACAAGGTGTACTTGATGAAAAAATTATTAAACCTAAAGATGGCGGAAGGTGTGTCGGTTGTTCAACATTTGAATAATTTCAACATTATTACAAATCAATTATCGTCCGTTGAAATTGATTTTGACGATGAGATACGTGCGCTGATATTATTGGCTTCATTACCAAATAGCTGGGAAACCATGGGGATAGCAGTTAGCAACTCTGCAGGTAAAACCAAACTGAAATATGATGATATTCGTGACTTGATTCTTGCTGAAAAGGTGAAATCTAAGGTAAGATTCTGGCGAGATCTCAGATTCGAGGTCAGCACTGAATGGAGATTACAGAAGGACATCACAAGCGAGG